TGGAATGAGTCACCATAAAAGTTCCAGCCCCCAACCTGAAGGACAGGAGACTGTCTTCGTGAGACCTCTAGCCATTGACCACCCTGGTATAGGAGACTCTGTGAGTGTCGTGGGGACACCCCCAGTATAGCTCAATGGATCACTGAGATGCTCAAACCGTCACACCACGGTAAGATCCAGTCTCTTCGTGACGCGCCGTCTATGAATCCGGTACACCTTATACCGATCTCTTGATAAATGGAATTCCGATCTCTCGCCGTTTTGTCTTAGTCTTTCCACAATTTTGAAGACACACATGGATGCGCTCCTAGAACTGTGACCAAAGTGTTCTTGTGAAAGCCGGATATCGACCTTGGGGGGAGGCTGATCGCAGGATCCAGTCATGAGTGACTATACGAGAAGCTTCTCCTAATGTCTAAAGACCTGATTCGCGAACAAAATATAATGTAAATAAGTCAGCATTTAGTATGCGCAACAGAATAAGTAGTATATACAGATTTAGCCAAATAATTAGTCCAGCTACCTCCATGACCAGGTGATACAGTCATGAGATTCTTGTTCGGAACTAGCCTCATTTTGAGCGGATAGAATCAGAGTAGTATTGGATCCTTACGTAGATGAATGAAGTACAATGAGGCACCATGTGCACTTTAGCAAATCAACGGTCACCTGATTACCTATTGTCAGTGAAGTAGTAAGATAAGGTGATTGGATGGTGAACAACCGTAGACGGTGTGCACTGGTGCAATCGCTTTCAACCATCCTTTCAGTGAAGTCAATCTATGTTGAGAAACCGATAAGCGTAGTCCACCTGCTTCGTCCTTGTTGGGAGTCATCAGCAGTGCGCATCTCACGAAACTGAAGAGTCTCGAACCCGCGGCCTTCCGGCTAGTTGCTGAACACTTGACCGTTTGGCCACCAGTGTCTGATCAGCAGTGTGATGAGCTCTCAGGAAGACAGGACACAAAGCGTTCAATAATGGAAAACCAAATCACGTGCTCATGTATCGACTTGGGTGACGAGTTCCCAGAAGGAACTATCGCACACACACACACACACGCACACACACTGTTTGTCAACTCCTGGGATAAATCTGACTTTATAACTTACATAATTTGACGATAGTACGGTCGGTCGCTGTATATTTGTTTGAAGTAAATTTTGCACCGCAAATTTTATTACGTGAACTTTTACTCAGTGATGAATTTATCAGAATTTCATCATTAGTTGTGTTTTGTATCTTTCTTTTCTAAAAATGATTCTCGCATGTAGCTGGTATTTTCCGGGAAAATATGTCGTTCACAGACGTGATTTTTTCTTAGATTAGTCCACCACGTGACGAGCTTTGCCAGAAAATGTGGGCACTTGAGAACCTTCAAGTACCACTCGCATGTTTTCCGGATCCCCGTGATCGATTCAACTTCAGTGGGGATTTCAATCTACCCCGAAAAGCCGAGAAAGACTGTAAAACTGTTTTATTGGAAATTATCAGCACTGCACAATTCACGAACCTGCACGAGGATTCGGAATCACGACTTCCCTTCGGCCAGCAGTGTGATTAGCTCTCAGTTAGACAGGATAGAGCACCACTTGTCGTTCAAACACGGAATTCAAATCACGTGGTCTCGTGCTGACTGGCCGCTCGAATGACAACTACTCAGCTGAAAGCTTCACTCGCCATGTAGATTATTGAACCGTCGGAAGAATAAAGGGAATATTGTAAATAAACCAGATAATAAGGGCGAAGTTTGAGCTACTTGAAAGCTTGGATTGGAACACGTGTTGTCCTGGGGCGTTCGCCACACTTCAGAAACCAAGCAGAAATAAATAGCTGTAGAAGACTTCCATAAAGTGACGTTCCAGTTATACCTTTGTAATGTACTACTCATAAGGTTACTGAAAATCCATCGACAGCCCACGACCGGTTTCACCCTCTCACTTCGGGCTCATCAGGTAGGCGCGCAGTCCCCGAGTTTTCGTCAACCTTACGCTCTACTTGAAACCAAATTAGCGAATATACACTCATTTGAAAACTAATTCGTTTCTCGATAGACTCACCTGGAACGCATCTGAATCTCGCGTTTGTGATGTTCTCGGGCAACTGAATGTGCTACACCAGGCTGCCTCATGTTTCAGTCGCAAGGATATTCGAGATATCCGATACATGTATATCTTTGTAATGTACTACTCATAAGGTTGCTGAAAATCCATCGACAGCCTGCGACCAGTTACTTTGTTACCAGGGTGTAATTCTAGTAGATACATAAAACGGAAGATGCCTGCCACGCGCAGAAAAATTAAGCCCCGCCACCCAAAAAAGATCAGAAAATCGAGGGTATGAAATTTGTGCTTTTAGTTGTTATTGAAGAGGGTGAAATCGGGACATGTCATTATTAATTTGCATGAAAAGGTCCGTTTTTCGGTACCTTTACCTCCAAACGAACGCACACAAGGAGCTGTTCACTAAAGATCGGTGTGTGCCACATTGACGTTTATCCTGCATCTTGTAGAGATTCGATGGCTTGTGTGTGAGCTCCAGTCATTGGATCCACAAATTTTTCGTTATGATTAACCGTTTCATGGAAATAATTCACGTCAGTTATCGTTTCAATTCCTTGGTATGATACCCACACATCGGAGATGATGATTGAGCCGGGAGCGATGCAGGCCTGGAATGTGACCACCAAAGTGACCGCGGTTCGATCTGGCACTGCATACATGAACACCTGTTTAGTTTCCCGACAGACTTCTCCGAAATTCCACTGCTGGGGATGGACTCGTCCCGCGTGGTTTTCACGGCGACATATTAGCGTTTGATCGATCTCGACGTGTAGACCTGGGCCGCCGATAACTGTTGGAGACTGCAAAGCCACCGCCAGGCGCAAATTTTGCGAAGAACGTTCTTCCAGTCAACAGCGGTTGTATAGCTTGATTTTTGCCAAATTTTCGGACCAGCAATAAATGAATAGAATCACTGTCCTAAGCTCCATCCTAGACCGCTTCGTCCAAGTTCCCTTTCGAAGACCGATTCCTTGCCGACACTGTTGGGCCTTACCCATCCACCTGTGAGAAGCAGTTGAAAGTGTCATTTGGTGGCCAGAAGTGTTGGCATAAGCGTTGCTGATGGATCACTCCGTGGCTTTGCAAAAAACGTATTACCGTCTCCATGTCATGAACGAGAATTGAAAGGTTAAAGAGTTCATTTAAGGTTTCACGAAGGTCCGAACTGGGAAACTTTTTGCACCTAGATGCGGATAAGGAATTATTTTCATCAAAAATAGGTCATGGTTTTGTGCGTACATTAAGTTGGAGCTGACAAGTGGCGGACTTAACTTTTCGCACATGCACTGTTTGCCATAGTGGTGGGGCTCATCTGGAAAAGATCCTTTTTCTTCAAAAAGCAAAGTTCGAAATCATGGTTATAGTTCGGTGTGAATTGAACAGCCAACGATTGAACTAAATTTAAAATAGATCTAAAATACGCACGAGATTCAAACTTCAAGTTTCGATTGGAAGTGTTGGTATTTTGGAACACTTGTTACGCATGACGAGCATTCACTTGTAGAATCGATAGAAATCGATCGGAGCGAGTTGAAATGTGTTTTATAGGGATGGGAACCATATGTTCACAAGGCAGTGAAAACAGCCCCCTCGAGTACACTGATGATTGACCCTGTTCCGAATTTAGGCCTAGATACGGAAAGGACAATAAGACAGTTGTCCGTTGCCTAGAAACGGAACAGAAGAACGAGTGTTGTTACCTCGTTGGGTGTGTGCTTTGATGCCGAGACAAAGCAAAAGTGTTGGCGAAGTGCACCCATTTGTAAACTAAGTTGGCACGATACATAGAGGAGGTGTATGCTGGTACAACCCCCCACCCCGTATTGTGTATAAAACAAGACTATCGTTTCTACATCTAAGCGCCATGGTAGTTGCGATATGAAACGTGTAGGGGTGTTTTTAGAACTCTGGTCACTCGACGGCTTGTTCACAAAGGAATTTTTTAATCAAAGTAAATGAGTGTATTTCGCTAGTTTTTGGATTTATCTAGCCGTTAGCCAAGTTACTATACCACTATCAGGTCCAAAACATAGGCTAACAATGCAGTGGGTTAAACAGTGATCAGTTGGTTGCACTCATTTTCGTTCAGTTTGTACTTTTAGAGCATAAACTGCCCTTTGTAGCTGTGCCCTGGCCTCAGGCAACATGCTGATTGTTGCTGCGATCAAAGTACTGTAATGCATTTCGAATCATCTCGGTTTGATCGATCGAAGTGGACCAAGTGGTTAGAGCGCGAATTTGCTGACCGGAAGGTTCGTGGTTCGAACCCAACCTCTGCCCCTCGACTTCCCTGTCTAGGCTTGGGCAACTTGGTGGTATCCCAGCCCTCGTGCTTTTTTCGGGTAGCATGACAGCTAGGCACCGAAAGGGTGCTACAGCTGAACGATTGTGATTGATTTATTGATCAATCAAAAACGCTGGTGTGTTGTTCACAGGCTGTGGCGTGAGATCACATGACTTATTCTTTTCTGGGCGTAGGAAGGCTGAAGTTCGCATGGTAGATGAAGGAAAGCACATGTATCAAGAATGGGCATGCACTCTAACTGTTTGTGTGATGACCATTACTTCACAGAGTTTGTTCATAAATACGGCGTTCAGTGAATAAGTTTATATCTGTGAATGGCGGAATGCACACAAATGAGCAATTATCCCTTGTGGTCCGACATGGCTCGAGCGCGAACTTACTGACTTGACGGTCCGTAGTTCGAACCCAACCACGGCATTTCAACTTCTATCTAGGCTTGGGCAACCCAGCAGCATCTTGGTCTCGTGCTTCCTTCGGGTGGTATGGCAACTAGGCACCCGAAGGGTGCTACAGCTGAACGCTTTCTTTCTTTCTTTAGAACATAAGGTTGACGGAAACCCGGGGACTGCGCCTACCTGATGAGCCCCGAGAAGGGCGAAACTGGTCGTGAGCTGTCCATAGATTTTCAGCAACCTTATGAGTAGTACATTACAAAGATACACATGTATCGCGATATTTCAAATATCGTAGCGACTGAAACATCAGGCGGCCTGGTGCAGCACATTCGGTTGCCTGAGAACATCATAAACGAGAGATTCAGCTGGGTTCCAGGTGAGTCTCTCGAAAAACCAAATTGGTTTGCAAATGAGTGCTTTACGAAAACTTCTCTTCTAATAATGGTCCGCCTCATTTCGGGATAAGAATAGTCAAAGTTTGCCATCTGAGAGGTTGGCTATCATTGTTCAACAACGTGGGCTACTGTTACTCGGTCACTGAAAGGAGATTGCTCATATGGAGGGCTTGGTGTGTCTTTCATGAAGTCACCCATCGTTATAGATGGAACATTTCAGTCTCAGACGGATACTCTTGCGTAATAATGACGAGTTGTCCGGAACGTAAGATTGAACTGAGCAGTACTCGGGGCACAGGTTGGCATTGCTGAAGAAAATGAGCACTACTAATGTTATAGAAATTTCTGGTAGACACGACATCTGATTGACGTGGATGGGATGTGCGTCAAACATTGAATGACATCAAACAGCCTGTTCAGGCATTAATGATCCATTAGTTTCGAGCTATTTCTGGTTGAAATCTGTCCTCGTTTAGAGCAATTAACGAACACCCAAGAATTATGGAAATCAAACGTGTCAACAGTGACGTATTCAAACTGTTTTAACCGCCAATGCCCGTTCCCAGTATCCCGACTGTCAAAATGTGCGTACGATATCTTACACGAAATTACGCGCGGCTAACGATAGCCAATCACGTGACAGAACACACAGCGTATCAGAGGCTTGCGTGGGCGGCGTGTCAGCTGATCATGGAGCGCAGGGTGGTGGAATGGCGTCCTCTGTGTGACGCACATTGTCGTTATTATTCTATGGTTGCTACATACAGACGAATTTCGGCCAAGGTGTCAGTTGCTTCCGTAGGACTGCTTTAGCAGGGCCAGCAAGTTGCAACGATGTTACCTTACTTAAATTGCTTCGACCCCGAAGAAAACACTAAGTGGCGTGCCCCTGGATAGAATGACTCTCATAATATTTCGGAAGGTAAAGTCGTGTGTAACTGATTAGTGCTGACTTCAGATAAAATGAAGCTGAAATAAAGCAAAATACTTGGACCGCAGTGTATACTGAAAAATTTCCTAAGCCACTGAGACATACTGAAGCATCGCCAAGATGCATCTGCATGCGTGACACGTCGAAAGAGTAATTTCGCTTCTGCCCAGCCGGGGAACCGAAAACAAAAGTACTTTCCGTGGTGACGTGACAAGGAAAAATTATGGTGTGGTGGATAGAAAACCAGGAGGTTTTCGTGTATTTAGGGGCGACACAAAACCAAAAGTGGAACTACTTTGTTCTTCAAAAATGCATTTAATGCAGTCTGAAAAGTTGCAAACAAATATAGTCAAGGACACCACGTATAACCCGGGCACAATAACACGTGATGCCTATCGATCTACATAAACGAGGGTTAGCGTCATAGACAACTTCATTGTCTACAATCGATCATATCAACAGAGGGCAGAAAACGTTGAGCGGAAATCAATGGACTGGCCAGTTTTGTGAACATCTGTGGCGATCGATGCCGTCCTGGTTCGACTTGAATACAATTCACCACAGCGGTAGGTTAGATGACGAGGCTGATGCCGAGAGTGATTTGATTTTGGTACTGTGATTTGGGTTTTGTGCTGCTGTCTAGTCTGGAGTTTATTGATTACTTTCAAAAGGCATTGACCAAGTAGGCCGTCGTTTTTGGCACTTCGTGGGGGGGGGGGTTAGCTGCTTTTGGGGTTGAACTTGGCAACAGTATGCGAGTACTTTGCAACAGTTTGGACTTGTTCAATAGGGAGTGCATGTCAAATTGGCTGGACAGTATGACGTCTCTGTGGAACAAATTATTGCTTCAACTTCGGTTATCGCGTGGTGACCACCTTAGGGCACGTCCATCATACTTTGCCTCCGGTAGATCTGTTGTCTTAGGTCTTACATGCCAGAATATCAATGAAGGGAAGAAGGCCTTCGCTGCGGAGTTATTTATTAGAATATGCCAACTGAACAGCTACAGACTATTGGGCAGGGAAGCAAAATTCTCATATGCAACTTATTCGTAAAAGCCGAATAACCATCTTCTCTTTGAAAGCAACTTTATGAACTTTCCTGGATGTTCATTGACTGTTACTCAATTGCAAGCAAATGCTACAAAGCGACCCCACAAATGCCGTAATAGATCTTGCTTTTCAAGAGACGTAAAGCGGGTTTACGAGAAAACATACTACTCGCATACCTCCTCCATCAGTAGAATCACCGTTACACTATTTCTTCAAGGGTCTATGATTGACTCGCTAACTCACAACCACTCTGGACCATTTTCGACGCCTGTCAATGTTCTTCACTAAGTGAAGCACCTAGGACGGTAGTTTGGTTGGGATATGACTGAACGTGTGTAGCTTTATCAGCAGACTGTTTTGAGAAAGTTCGCGCTCTCGAAAGCTGATGGCCTGCTAGTGAATTTAACCATTCGGTGACCATTGTAAGCTCTTTTCCTCAGGCCGTGTTCGGGGGTTGGAACAAGTGTCTAGAGGTCTTTGCACGCATATTCTGTTCGTTCACAGTGCCAGCTCAAGGAAGTTTCCAAAGCCGACTTAGTAGGTATTCACTCTTGAAAATCCTTTGTTTCCATGCACCCAGCATTGTTCTGTCCGTCCGAATTCATTTTTTAGTCTCAGGTCAACCGTCTGATGACGCCAGTCCTGTTGAAACTCAAGGTGGTTCATGAAACTCAGAATACGATTCCCTCCCCCCCCCACTATTACCTGTTTTTACGTAAATACGGTCTGATTTCATGCTCAAGAGTAAATCAAACGAAGGTAGCTTCCTGATTGGTTGAACTCTGTTCACTCACGAATCGACTCACTGTTAGCTGGCGACTCCACGGGAGATAGCTGAGACCCCGGTTTATGACTGTCAGGACACGTCCAGACATGGAAAAAGTACATGTGCACAGAGTGACGCACCCCCAAGGTCACCATTTGTGCGACACGTTCGGAAAGCAGGTGCGTTGGCGGAGCTTACCAAACACGGCTTAACAAAACAAGACCAGTGAAGTGAGGCTGAAACTATTCACGACCGGAACACCGCCATTGGCTGTACAGAGCGAACAAGTGAACGGCCATATTTAGCCATTTGGTCCTCCTGTATATTTGCGCAGAATGTCTGTATGTCTTGTCCTGACAATACAGTCGTTTCCCGAGTTCTCTGTCTTCTCCCTATCGCGTAGTCTGGCAGGCTTAGTGCAGGCGTAACCCATAAACGGCCACCCACGATACAGCAATGACGCCGGTTAAACGCCAATTCCGTTTGTGAATCGTTTGATTTCGCCAACTGCGTTTATTCTTTAATTGACTGAAGCATACGTTTGATGAAACTTCTGGAAATTCGTCTTTCTGATCAGACCGAAAAGGGCGAAACCGGCCTTGGGCTGTCGACCGTCTTACGAGGAGCGTGTTCCAGTTCTCGACTGGAACAAAACTTGGCCTTTGTAAAGCCATTTGAGACGACAGTAGAAGAGGGTAGGAAATCATCAGCAAACTTCAAGTCGGTTTTCAAACGAGTGTCTTTTGTAGATTGTCTGCTTCTCTTACGAATGGCAGCTCTGTTGGCAGATACGCTTGGTCAAACTAGAACTTTAATCGTACTCCACAAAGAGAATGAACTGATCAGGTGTTGAGAATGGCAGTCATGGAACTCACAGGTCAAATGTGACAGAATGAAGACATGCCGACGCGGTTCCTCATAACGCTATCCTACTACGCGCTGAAAGTGTCACCTGATTAGTGATCACATGATTGCAACCGGAATGCTCATCTCAGCGCCAGGAATCACACTGACTCATATACAATTAGTCAACGTCTCCTGTCCAGTAGATCATATGGAGGGGTCCGGTGGGTATCGCTCATACATCAGGGCCTGCACTGGGCAATACTCCTGAACTAAGTAAGAGGACACCTAGGACTGACCTTGCTTCATTGGTCCAAATACTACTGTGATATTCTCTTGGCTTTGCAGTAACTCGAACGTCAATGTCGAACGAAGCGCAATACCTTTCGCCGTGTTCGTGTGAGAGGGGGGTTGGAGCGTTACTCCTATCACAGCATGCTAGTCATCAACACGAAAACGGGGAATAGAAAAACAACGTACAAGAACAAGAAAGGTAAAATCGTAAGCTTCCTACATTTGTAACTGTCCGGTTGACGACCCCATAATGGGTTCGAAACTGAAGAATCGGTGAATACAACGCACTGGTCGTACTCAGTTCTTTCTGAAGGTAAAGTTTAGAAAATCGTGTAACCAGATGTAGAACCGAGTCGACATCTCTGGAAACAATTAGTCCTCTTTTTCTTGATCTTGGATTACCCTGATGATGAACTCTCGGAAGGTTAGATTTCGTTTCCCCCCGAACAATGTGCACACCTCTCACTTACCGTATTCTTCAAAGCGAAATTTCTTGGGTTGTTGTGTGCTTTTAGCTGCACGTTTGTAGCATGCAAACTGCTCAACGAGAGCAAACAGGCAACTAATCTAGGTCATACGTCATCATCAGTGTGACAATAAATGGAGAGGAAATGCAACGCAAAATCGATTTCGATTGCTTTGCTCACATGGTCAACAGCTGCATTTAATTCGCTCTAGTGTTGGAGCACAGACGTGAATTGCGGCAAGTCATCAATCTTCTATTCTCAAACCTACCTTGGTAGAGTTATCTACAAGTAGAAACGGCAAACAATGCACTTTCCACGGTTTAACTAATCCCCGTCGCCAGTAATCTGACCATGAAAATCTCACGTTGGATTTCCCTCTACATTGATACAATGGCGTCGTTTACATCCAACTCAGCTGTCGTCGAATGACCAGAGTTATTGCGTCCCTAATCAGGTATACTTATTCGTAAAAGGACAAGCGTGTTGGAGTGGAAAGCTGCCTGCTAACGAAACACGAACGAAGCAGTGACCAATGTCGTTTGCTGGAATCTTTTAAAAATCATCATTCTGAAGCGCCTTTTCGAGCTTTCCCGGACGCTGTTGGAACTGTAAGTAGTGATAGACAGTCATTATGAAACTTTTCGAAACAACTATGCAGGGACAGCACTATGTTGGCCAGATAGTACTCACACGTTTCATCAGTAGTACATGCCGTCGAAACAGTTGTTGAACAGTAAGTTGTTTCACACGTGAAATACTACTCATAAGGCTGTTGAAGAGTTTTCACCGACCCATGACCGGTTTTGTCTTTCTTGGACTCAGCAGGTAGACGCAGTTCCCGAGTTTCCCTCAAACTTACTCTCTATCTGGATTCAAACTGCACGACTACACTCATGTGTACGCCACTATGGTTTTCAAGGGGAAGGCCCAAATGAATCCCTCGTTTGTTGAAGATGAACGTCATAAACAAGAGAATCAGTTGGGTCCCCAGTGAGAGCCAGCTCGATATGCAAATGAGTGTATCGCGCTGAAGAATCTGTTTTCGTGGACCTATCTCACGTGGAACTCATGGAAATGTGGAATTAAGCGAGTTAAGTGTCTCCTCAAGTGGTCATTCTCTTTGAAGACACTATCGCGGAGGGGCATGACTGTATTTTAAGCCTTGAACTAAGTTTATTGCTTCAATCCTTGTAAAACTTTGCTTTCAGTCTCCGAGTTCACTCAGTTAGGGCTTTACAAAGTGGCGGGTTAGCCTGTTCAGTCCAAAAATGGCCAGGAATTTTGTAGAAAGTAAGAAAAGTTAGGTCCAGCGTCAAAATTTGTACGTCAACATCGACACTACGCTGCATAGTGGCTCGCGCTTTGAGTTCAATCTGTTTGCTCAATTTCTCCGCGAAAACCCGGAGGGAATTGTTCCCACGTGTCTCTCTATTGAACGAAGACTATCATTTAGAATGTCCTATCACTTCAAAACACAAATTCAGATCCGCCTTTGTCACAAGGAAGAGACGCTTTTCGAACCAAACGATGAAGCAGAGGTGCTTTCCAGAGGCGATTTTTCACCCAGTTTTTTTACAAATCAGCTTTTCTGAATCGAAAAACGACAACGCAAGGAGTTACATTGAACTTGACAAGAATAAATAAAACGCATTTGCCACCGCTAGTGACTCCCTTCCTATTTTGTCGGTGACTGGTTGGATTGAAACAAGGTTTCACGGATGCTGGCTCATATGAACTATAGAAGCATTGTAGAATATCATAAACGAGAGATTCGATTGTGTCTCTCGTGAAAACCAAATTGATTTGCAAATGAGTGTATTTCTGGAAAACAGTCCAATTTGGGTTCAAGTAGAACATAAGGTTGACGGAAACTCGGGGACTGCGTGCCTACCTGATGAGCCCAAAGTGGAAGGGCGTAACCGGTCGTGGGCTGTCGAAGAGTTTTCATCAACCTTGTGAGTAGTGGTTTCCTTTATGAGAAGCATTTATATAATTTAATTTTCGCGGTCTTTTTAAGGGGTTTTAGTTTCCCTTAACCGGAATCTGCTGTCAGCTAAACTACCAACAACAAAAACGAATGCACTCATATGACACTCGGGCACTTTTGTACGACGGAAACCGTGACGTAGTTTCAAACACAGGAAAGAAATCACGAGCAAAATACACTCGACAACGCTATGGCAACGAGGGGTGTTGAATGAAATATGAGAGGTGGAGAGGGGTGAATTGTTTTCTCTCTCTATCTCTCCATCAAGTCGAGAGGAAGTTGTGACGGAAAGTGCCGACATCACACGTGTAAAGGGACAAACCGTCTGCAGTAGGAAGATTTTTCAGGGGACATATAACGGTAAAAGTGAGGTTTTTGAGAACTCCACTTGTTTCTTTATATGCCAAATTTGGGGGGAAACACACAACATGTGGGTTTGCGTTTTGAGTCTGTTTGTCGTAGGAATTGAGGAAGTATTCGGCTCTTTTTCGGATAAGCCCCACCAAAAAACCACCCACCCGCCGCCACCTACTGATTCACAATTTGCATGAAAAGGTCCGTTTTTCGGTACCTTTACCTCCAAACGAACGCACACAAGTAGCTGTTCACTAAAGATCGGTGTGTGCCACATTGACGTTTATCCTGCATCTTGTAGAGATTCGATGGCTTGTGTGTGAGCTCCAGTCATTGGATCCACAAATTTTTCGGTATGATTAACCGTTTCATGAGTATAATTCACGTCAGTTATCGTTTCAATTCCTTGGTATGATACCCACACATCGGAGATGATGATTGAGCCGGGAGCGATGCAGGCCTGGAATGTGACCACCAAAGTGACCGCGGTTCGATCTGGCACTGCATACATGAACACCTGTTTAGTTTCCCGACAGACTTCTCCGAAATTCCACTGCTGGGGATGGACTCGTCCCGCGTGGTTTTCACGGCGACATATTAGCGTTTGATCGATCTCGACGTGTAGACCTGGGCCGCCGATAACTGTTGGAGACTGCAAAGCCACCGCCAGGCGCAAATTTTGCGAAGAACGTTCTTCCAGTCAACAGCGGTTGTATAGCTTGATTTTTGCCAAATTTTCGGACCAGCAATAAATGAATAGAATCACTGTCCTAAGCTCCATCCTAGACCGCTTCGTCCAAGTTCCCTTTCGAAGACCGATTCCTTGCCGACACTGTTGGGCCTTACCCATCCACCTGTGAGAAGCAGTTGAAAGTGTCATTTGGTGGCCAGAAGTGTTGGCATAAGCGTTGCTGATGGATCACTCCGTGGCTTTGCTAAAAAACGTATTGCCGTCTCCATGTCATGAACGAGAGTTGAAAGCGTCAGAAAGTTCCCTTAAGGTTTTACTAAGGTTCGAACGGAGAAAAGTTTTGCACAAACTGAGCCTAGATAAGGATAAGGAATTTTCTATAGAGGAAAATGTCGGTAGCTCAGGTAGCGTAGATGGTGGTCGTTGGCTTGTTCGCTGAGCTGGGCAATTTGATTGCAAACGTTTCACCACCAATCGAGGTGACATCATCAGTGCGCACTGATGGTCAAGGTTGTGCGTGCATTAAATTGGAGCTGGCAAAATGTGGGGCGGGGCTCAACTTTTCGCACATGCACTTTTTGCATTTGTGGCGGGGCTGGAAAGTTGATTTAAGGAGTGGAGCACACCTTGGCTCGTGCTCGGTTGCCGACACCGGTGGCATCACCCTGATTGACGAGATTTCAGGAGTTCGTGTCCGCTGATTCGTCCATATGTGTACTCCGCAATGCAAGGCTTAATAGATCAGTGTTCACATCCCAACTGTTCGCTTTGTTTATCAAAGTTCGACCCTCACGCAGAGCTAGGCAATGTGGTTGTGACCGTTTCATCCTCAGGCAAGGTGACGTCATCAATGCTTAGTGGGTCGAAATGTGTTGAAGTTGGAAGTGCGTGGTTGTTGATCTACAGTCTACCTGTCCGGATAGACCTTGGCCGATCAATGGACGTTCCTAGTTGTCTGTCTTCTGATTGGTCGGTGTCTAAATAGACTTGAGACGTGACCTGGCCCGTCCTCTCGCACCCGCTTTCGTTCGTTTGCCGTCACAGTAGGCCCCGATTTTCGGTCCGTTCGTTTGTTTGCCGAGGCAAGCTCAGTTTTCCCACTGGGTTGGCGGTCCCTCTCTCGTAGCACTTTGTAGACGGGGTCGATTACTATATATCGGTCGATTAAATTTCTTTGCAGGAAACCGCTTCTTAGACTCCCCCCTTGTGTCTTGCTCTTCCTCACGCTACAATCATTTAGATTAAACTCGTGTCCTGCTGATTTCCAAATATGAAAACATGAGATGGTGGATCGTGTCTTTGAACAGCCACGTTTTTCACGTCGAAGGCTTTGTCCAACATCCCATCTGTATCAATCCCCGCAGTTGCTTCCGTACGTGATGCTGGTTCTCACGACTTTCTACGCTTTACATACTACTGAAATGTGGGCAATAATAGAACAATTTCAATTTTTCGGGACCCTGTGGTTACCAATGCTTTGTCTGAAATCTAAATCACTGTTTTATCTGCCCCTTGGATGCATTAAAACACCAGGAGGGGAACAAAATGGTCACATCTTGATTTTGTGTTTTTCGTTCTTCAGGAATCAGAAAGAGATGTGACATTTGTTGGCTAATTGTGTGAGAAAAATAGAGAAGTAGATGTCCGTTTGTTGTCTGTGAGTTCGATCCCCGGGGTAGTTGGGTGAATGATATTATCTTTGGTTTTTGACGTGATAAACTGTCCATTGCCGGTATCCCTAAACTTCTGCCGTGAGTATGCAGTCGGCATACATTTTATTGACGAAATTTTGACGTAGTTAGTTGGAACACGGCACGATGTAACTCTGGCTCGTCAATTTTTTCTATCTTCCCACTTCTTCTTTAGTTAGTGAAGCCTTGACTCGAAAGAACCAACTAGTCACAATGCTGAGAGGGATGGACAATGGCAGGATAACCTCCATTCACCGAGCATGCGCGGAATGAGTTCCGCTGCTAGAGCTTTTTGACTTTCCCAGTTCAAGACTCTGGACGTCACCTTCACCGCATTGTTGCCTTAGTGGTGTGAGAGTTTTCTAGCTACTCAATAAATTTGGATAAAATGCGGGAAAGCTCTCCCATTTCATAGTAATGACTCGATAGTTTTCTTGCAGAGTCAGCGACATCTACTTTTCACCAACTACTGTTACAGGGTGCTAGCAACCCAGGTTTATTGTCTGCGTGATCCAGAAATTCAGCCAATTATCTGTTTTCCCCACTTTGACACATTTACCAGTCGCGTTGGATTCATGATGTTCACTTTGACAAGAACGTCGGGTCTAGTTTAGAAAACAGGAAGCCATCCAATTAGAGAAAATTCATCATGAATAAGAGATTTAGTTAGATTCAGTTGCTTCTGTCGTCAAGGGGCAAGGCGGGTTTTGAGCTGACGAAGAACTTTCTTATAAGCAGTATGTCACATCTAGACCAGAGCCCGTTTAGCTCAGTAGGTACAGCCATTTTAGTAGGCCGGGAAAATGTATCGTTCTCGCAGTCATGCTCAGTTTGAACGTAGCTTGCCACTGACAGTCAAGCTAGAGCGTCATGGTGTTAGTGGAGGTCGGGAGGCCGAATGGTCAAATCACGTGGCATGTCTGCACGAGCAGGCTTCTGATTGGACAGCGATAATTCCAAAGAAAACAGTAGCACAATACAGATGGTGACCAGCCGTTCATAAATCCAGTTTACACAGACTCATTTGGCCTGGATCGCCACAAACTTCTGAGGTGTGTTCACAAGAATAGATATCTCCTCACAAAGTACGCAAACTTATTCAGTCCTTTAAAATGCGGCTTGGTATAAAACAAATACAAAATCGCTGCCATTTAGCCAACAGAATTCTACTCTTGTTTCTTCTACGCATATCCAGATCGAGTGAGTATTTTTCAGAAACTAGCCTTGTGAAAGTAGTTGTCCGTCAAACTGTCAGTAAATTACCGGAAGCGGTAATATCAAGAATGGAACGAAGAAAACGGGTAGAATCAAATCAGCATTTTGATTGCACCCACTAGTTTTGTTTTGGAAACTTTCCAAATTGCACTCATGTCTCACGCCTGTGACGAATAGGTACACATAGGCATCATGGATGAGCGAACACTTCACCTTGCTGAGTCCTATTTTCGTTAAACTCCATTCAATGTTGCCACGGTAACTACATCCATCTGATGCCCTGAGCAATGCTACCGACAGCATGTGATGTGAAACGCAGATGAAATGAGCTGCCCCAAATGCAATGGTTATTGGGAAAGAATATGGTACCCAGGTTTTTCGTTATTCCGGCTTTATTTTCCTATCAAATGAATATTTCAGTAAACACTGTTCACCATTCATTTAGCTGTTGTTCGTACCAGCCAGGTGCTCACATTAAACTGTCACCCAGGTAGAGCCTTATACTGAAAGTCACTCACGCAGAACTGTCTGGACAGCAGGCATATTCTGGAAGCAGTGAGTTACGCTTAGATGGTTCACTGAAGGGCCGTGAGCAATATTATATACATTTATGTCTAAAATTCATCCAGGTTGAACCACATGGTCTCCATGATCTCAATCTGCTAAAACAATCACTCCAGATGAAGCACCACGTCGATCATACATTGTTATCATTATATGTACACAGTTACTAAAAATAGTAGTTGACTTGACAATCAAGATGTTCATTAGACGGAGTTTACTGGCCACCGCAAAAAATGGTCTACATACCGGTGAATTACATTTCCGTACATATGTAGCCATATTACCTACGGATTTTAGTGACTGGACAACTTTTCAGGGCTCGATTGACCAGTTACAACGCCTATCACGAGCCAAGCTTTGATGCACATATGTACTGGGTGCTTGGAGCTATGTGGTAATGATCTCTATTGAGGAGTGAAAAATAATTAGAACGAGTAAATTGCCCTAAGCAGAATGCACAACTCCAGATTAGCTGAAATTCAGGAACTGTAAGCTTATGAGCAGTATGTTCCTTTAAGAACTGAATCTGGGATGGGGTTCACCCTACACGTTTTCAAACCAATCATCTTTCTGGAAAGTAAGTCCACTTTAAGACCACCCCCAAGGATCATATAACAGTGATCCTTGTAGGGGGGTTAATTCATATCTTAACGCCCTTTAGTTGGGTGACCTTGAGCCATGATCTTAGAAACTCCTATGTCGAACCGGTACATGGCAGTGTTCTTTTGTGTGGGCTTTCTGATACACTTAGCGTTCAGTAGTTAGTTGTTTGTACAAAATTTCCACTCTATTGGACCTCCTTGTTGTCACTCGAAAATCTCTCCAAGCAGTTAAAATCTTACTCTTGTAGGTCACGGCTCATCTGCCATTTTAAACGTGACAATCTGGAAAGGAATTTCGAAATTTTGAAATTTGAAGAAAAGATTGTGAATGGTGAACTTGGGACCAGTCCGCTTCAGTTAATATTCCTAGAAATTTGAACATTCTCCTGCTAGGAGCCAGTTCGAATCGGCGTTAATCAGTCTCCGTCGCTGTAAAAAGATCCTCCCATGGAGCGAAATGCACTCATCTGCACACCAATTTGATTTTGACAGGTGGCTCGCCTGGAAACTCGCT